GGCCGCGCGCCGCTACGCTGCGGCCCGCCGCACCGCGCTGATCCAATGGCAGGAGCCAGGAGCCAGGTGCTTCTCCTGGTCTCCCATGGGGTGCAGGGCCCAAGCACCTGGGCCATCCTCCACTGCACTCCCTGGCCACAGCAGAGGGCTGGCCTGGAAGAGGGGCAACCGGGACAGAATCCGGCGCCCCGACCGGGACTAGAACCCGGTGTGCCGGCGCCACAAGGCGGAGGATTAGCCTAGTGAGCCGCGGCGCCGGCCAATCCCTGCTCTTGAGGAGCTCACATACTCTGGGGAAGAGACAGACAACACAGAAAACTGAGTCAAAGGTAAGCTATACTAGGCGGCGGTAAGTGCCACAGGCAAAGGTAAGTCGGAAACACTGAGCTGTTCCTCGCGGAGAAGAGACAGAGCCATAGGCCACCTGGGGAAGAGCTTTCCAGCAAAGTCACAGCACATGCAAAGGTCCTGAGGAAGCCTGTCCATGACACATGTGGGGACAGCCAGGAGGGTAGTGAGCTCGGAACAAAGAACAGCAGAGGCAGAGATGGGAACCGATCATGCGGGGCCCTCAGGCTCTGTGATGGCCTGGCTCCGACTCAGTGTCAAGGTTGACAGAGTCATTGTGGCTGCAGCATAGAGAGTAGATCAGTGAGGGCGGTGGGGGTGCTGATCCCGCTGGCTGCCACGGTGGAGGGAAGGGACTGGGTTTTCTTGCAGTGGAACAATGGATGCCAGGCACTGCTCCTGGCCTGGCACCATTTTCTCCCGTCCTTACAACCACCCAAGGAAATGAGGCCTCTCTCCCCATTGTACAGATAGGGAAACTGAGGTTTAGGAAGAAGATTCCGCCCAGGCCCATCCTTGCCCAAAACCAAGCTCCTGTGTTCTGCTTCACTGCACGCCTGGTCAGGATCCCAAGGACACCTGGCCTCACATCCTAGAGATGAGAACGAATCCAAGACACTCATCAGCCGGGAACGGGATGCGGATTTGAAATTGTCCGGAAAACCGGCCTCTTAGCACGCTTTCTCTTGATACTAAATCTCAAAGGATCACTACTGGTGTTTAGCACTTTCCTTTTTATTTATATACTTTCCAAGTTGTGACTGGTATTTGTACGTAAAACGCCATCCAAAACCATCCGGAAGGGAGAGGACTATAAGGGGACAGGATGTGCGGAAGTCCCCGATAATGGCACGAAGGGAGCTGGGGCGCTTGGCTTCTCACCTTTGACAACTTCGTGTTCCAACATTGCTGCAGGCTGGCCCTGGGCCCGGGGACCTACCGGGCTGGCAGCGATGGCTGTGCCCCAGTCCCTGCCCCCAGGGTCTCTCCCAGGTCAGGGCAGCTGAGAGAGCTGAGGCTGTCACCCGACAGGAACCACATGCAGCACAAGGTGCCTGGGAGTGAGCCAGGAGGCTGAACAGGCAGGCCCGGCCAGGGAAGGCTGGGATCCGAATGCAGACAGAGGAAGAGCAGGCCCAGAAGGCAAATCCCAGGAATGGCAAAAGGGCCCATCGCCACAGCCCTGGAGCTGGGGCACAGGGATCCGACACCTGTGCTGGCCAGGCTCCGGCAGGTGGAAGGGCCGCCTCTCACGGACACGGGGGGGGGGGGGGGGGGCCGCTGGCAGGGAAGCCTCAGACGGCAGGAGGAAGTCCTAGGATGCAGTCCTTACCCTCACCTGGGCGGACCAGACAACGCCCTGGGGAATGCAGCGACATCAGCCCCGGGAGCCTGGGTGCATCGCAGTCCACACAAGCCAGGGACCTCTTGCTAGACGGGAAGAGGGGCTTCCAAGCTTCATCTGTCACAGCAGCCTCAAGCTGTCACTTCCAGCAAGTCAAGAGGAGGGAAGGGAGTAGGGGAGGGATGGAGGAAGAACACACAAAGGGGAGAGAGAATGAGGAGTGGAAGGAGGACTAGAAGGAGGGGGAGCACTGTGGCACAGCAGGGAAAGCCGCCGCCTGTGATGCCGGCATCCTCAGTTCAAGTCCCACTGCTCCACTTCCGATCCAGCTCCCTGCTGGTGCGCCTGGGAAAGCAGCAGAAGATGGCCCAAGTGCTTGGGTCCCTGCCACCCACAAGGCAGACTCAGACGGAGTCCCAGGTTCCTGGCTCCTGCCTGGCCCAGCCCCAGCTGTTGCGGCCAGCTGGGGAGTGAACCAGCAGGTGCAAGATCTCTCCTCTCTCTCTATTTCTCTGAGTCTCCAATAAGTAAATTAATTTAAAAAAATTAAAGGAGATGAGACGAGGAAAGAGAAGAGTTCCCAGGCAGATGCAGGCCAAGTCCCTCCCTGGGCGTGCTCCAGCCAGGGCTGTACCCTGGGGCACCCGGAGCTTCCCTTCCTGCACAGTACAGGAATACAAGGGTCTGGGGACCTCATCTTCAGAGCAAAGATGGAAGTGATGTTCTGAGCTGCTGCAGACACATGGAGGGTCCCCGCCGGCTCACCTTGATCCAGCCTTGCCTGCAGCCTGCAGTAGATAAGTGTACACGTCCAGAAAGGCCCCCACATGTGGGCAGAGCTGCAGAGACATTAAGACGTCGGTAGTGGACAAACTCACAGGCGTCGGCAAGACGTGGAGAGGGACAGAGGCGCACACTGGTACAGACGGAGAGGGACACTTACACAGATGACAACAGGGAGGCCAAGGCCATGTCCATGCAATGTCTGCTGATGTCCCCTTGGACACATCCTGAATATCCATACACCGACCACCCCGACTACCTTTGCAAAAAGACCTGGAATCCATGCAGAGTTCTTTTCATCATACGCATTTTCATGAACTTCTTGAAGACCCCTCATATGCACAGATTCCAAATTTGTTCCAGCAAAATAAACTCCTTTCCTAACTCGATTTTCCATGACCTGTTTGAAGTGCCTGGGTAGATGTGCACAGCCATAGAGAGTGGTGCTGCGATACACACGCACACACATAGGACGCGCCCGCGCGCACACACACACACACAGCCAGGCTCAGAGACTCGGCCCATGAGGTCAGGCCCTGCAGCCAGCCAGGCAGACACAGACGCTGCTGGGCTCTGCTTGGAATTCTGGCTCTGGTGCTCAGCATCCCCAAGCGGGCTGTCCTCAAGCCAGGTCCACTCCCGCCCACTCCTGCCAACTGCCTGGCTCCCACGAGCTCCCCCAGAGCTCAGGTCTGCCCACCAGCTCCTGGGCCTCAGCCCAGGCCCTAGGCTCCAGGATGGCAACTGTCCCATTCTCCCAGGTGCCGACTCAGCCAAACTTCACACCCAGAAGTGGAGCCAGGCCAGTGGGGCTGGTTGCAGCCCGCTCGGGGCATCAGCGCGGGGGTGGCGAGAGGGAGCCAGAAACCTGCAGTGGCAGAAAGAGCGGCTGCAGCTGCCACGCGGGCCTGCCCGACCGACGAGCCCGCCGGCTGCCGCTCCTCCAGTCGTCCCCCCTGCCCAGGCCTCAGGCTGCTCACCTCTAATACGGGACGTTACACCTGCCCCTCCGACAGGGCAAGTCCATGGGCACAGTCCTTCCCAGATGACAGAGACATTGCTGCCTGCTCTCCTCTTGCTTCGCCTCTGCAGTAACCCTAAGGCACAGGTTTGGTTTTCTCTATTTTACACCAGGAAACCGTGCTCAGAAAGAGTCGGTAGCTTAATCAAGGAGCACCCAGGCCTGCCTGCACCCAGGTTCCTCCTCCGAATTCCTTCTCATTCCTGGCCAGCAACCATGCCACAGTGACCCACCAGGGTCCCTCACTAAACACAGCCTCTTGTTTGCCGAATCTAGGCCTGGCCTCAATCCTTCTCAACACCCCCTTCTTGTCCTTCACAATGGGCGGCTGAATGGCCGCTGCTGCCACCTTGTCGCTCCGTCTGCTCTATCTCATTCCGGGGTGGGTGTGATAACTGAATGAGATCAGGGGTAGAAAGTACTTTGTAAGAGTTCAAGGGGAGGGTAGTGCTGTGGCACAGTGGGTTAAGCTGCCGCCTGCAATGCCAGCATCCCATATGGGCACCGATTTGAGTCCTGGCTGCTCCACTTCTGATCCGGCTCCCTGCTAACGCACCTGGGAAAGCAGTGGGAGTAAGTACTTGGGGCCCTCCCATCCATGTGGGAGACCTGGGTGAAGTTCATGGCTCCTGGCTTCATCTTGGCCCAGCCCTGGCCATTGTAGCCATCTGGGGGATGAACCAGCAGACAGAAGCATGCGCGCGCTCTCTCTCCCTCTCTCTCCTTCTCTCTCTATAACTTTGTCTTTCAAGTAAATAAATAAGTCTTTTTAAAAAGGAAGGAGTACAAGGGGCTGGCTTTTGGCGCTGCACTGAAGTTGTCACTCGCAACGCTTGCATGCCGGGCCAGAGTGCTTGCTGGAACACCCAGCTACTCTGCTTCCAACCCAGCTCTCTGCTGCTCACCCGGCAGCTGACCCTTGCAGAGGATGGCCCAAGGACTGGGGTTCCTGGATGGAACACACATTCACGCCCTAAGACACACACACACATACATACACACACACACACACACAGAGTCCTGGATGGAGCTCCAGGCTCCTGGCTTTGGTGTCTCCCAGCCCTGGCTGCTGTGGGCATTTGAGCTGTGAACCAGTAGCTGGAGATGTCCCTCTGTCTCCGTCTGACCCTCTGCCTTTCTTTTTTTTTTTTTTTTTTTTTTGATAGGCAGAGTGGACAAAGAGAGAGAGACAGAGATGCGGCCGGTGCACCGCGCTGATCCGATGGCAGGAGCCAGGTGCTTATCCTGGTCTCTCATGCGGGTACAGGGCCCAAGGACTTGGGCCATCCTCCACTGCACTCCTGGGCCATAGCAGAGAGCTGGCCTGGAAGAGGGGCAATCGGGACAGAATCCGGCGACCCGACTGGGACTAGAACCCGGTGTACAAGCGCCACAGGCAGAGGATTAGCCTAGTGAGCCGCGGCGCAGGCCACCCTCAGACTTTCAAATAAAATGAAAATAAATAAATAAATAAAAATTCAAAGAAAAAAAAAGCGTACAAACCTGGCAGAGAAAGTTGGGTCCAGTTTGCGGAGACTGTTAAGGCTCGAGCGCTCCCAATTCAGACGACAGTGTGGCAGATGGCCAGGGGGAAGGGGCACTGTCACTGCTGCCTCTCACAGAGGCAAAGACCCAGGCCTGGGCAAATGTGAGCCCAGGGTCAGGCCGCCAAGAGTCAGAGGCGGGGCCGGGACCCCAGCGTGGACTCCTGTTCCAGTGCTCTTGGAAGGCAAGGCTCCCACGGGCCAGGCCATGCCGGGGTGCGTGGGCAACGAGGAGTCAGAGCTGGGAGCAGAGCTGGAAGGCCCAGCCTTCTCCTGGCAGAAAGGGCTGGACCCTCCAACTAATTGGTTCTGAGTGCTTCTTTTGACCCTAATTAGCTGTTTGTCACGTCTCCATTTGCATACCAGAAAAGATGCAAATTTGCATATCTGTAAGGGAGGCCAGGCCTGGATGTGGATTCTGGAAGAGCTTGGCAGTTGCTGGCACACAGGGAGGCAGCTGGCTCTCGCCACTGAGGCCCGGGCCGCCGTGGCACAAGGAGCCCTGCGAGACAGCTCCTTGGCTGGGGCGCAAGGTGCTCTCCCGGGGGGTCAGAGGCACGGGCACCCCGTGCCCTCCTGGTGGGGAGAAGGGGGAGCCCAACGCCCCACTATTTTCCTGAGAGGAAACAAAGAGGGGAGGCAATGTCAAGTGCCTTCAGGACGCTGTGTGCTGCGAAGCCTGCTGGCTCCTGTCCTCGGGTGGAATCTGTGACCCGTGGGAAGGGGACTGTCCCCCTCCACCTCCCAGGGACGGAGGGTGGGGAGGGAAATGCACCCTACCTCCCCCCCACCTCCCGAGGGTCCCTTTTATATACTCACACACACACATGTGCACACACAAGCATACATGCACACACTCCCCCCCCCAGGCACCCTTCCACACGACAGCCACAGACCCACTGAGGGACCCAGGCAACTCCGACAGGAGAGGCACATTCGCACAGGCAGACATTTCCAGCCTTCCTGCGACACACACATTCACGCCCTTACACACACACACACACACACACACACACACATAGATGTAGGCATACAGACTCACTTGCGCTGTGCGTAAATATTTACACACACACAAGACGCACTCACACAAGCACATCCTTGCGAAAAGCGAATCTCCTGGCAAATTCTTGGAATTCTGACCCCTCTGCCGGTGGAGTTCCCAGAGCCTCTTTGGGAAGAGACAAAGGAGGCAGGAAAGGGTGCGGCATATTCCCAAGGAATTGGGCCCCAGATAGGGATCCTGGGAAGCCAGTCACCAGCAAATGGCCCAGTGCCTTCTGGACTTGGACTTGGCCCTGGAGCTTGGAGCGGGGTTGGGGATGGGGGGCAGTGAGCCTTAGCAGACACACAAGCCGTGATGCCTTGGTGGGGCCTGGCAGGAGAGCAGCATGGCTTCCGAATTTCCCATCAACCCCAGAGGCCAGCGTGGGACAGGGTGGCACAAGCCACTGTGCTCTCAGGCCCGGCTCAGAGGCTTCCCGGGATCCAGGGCTCAGGTGCTGTGTGCTGGGGCCTGCAGACACAGGGTCAGGACCCAGGGCCTCCACCAACCACGGCTCCCACTCCCCTGCACCGCCTCCTCAAAGCCTGCATCGCAAAAGGCAAGCTAAACAGCTCTGTATTTGTAAATTAAATATAGCCGCACTTGGGCTTTCCAGAGAGCTGGGAAGGAGAGAAGGAGAAAGAAAAAGAGGGAGAGGAAGAGAAGAAAAGCTGCCGCCCTCAGGAAAGTCTGGCTGGTACAGATTGCCTGAGTCATGAATATTCATCCGGCGAATGAGGAGAGCGGGCGTTTGCATAACAGCTCCACCCACCCAACTGAAAGAAATGTCACCGCCTTTGCCAATAAAGTGCCAAAGGAAGCCGGTGGAGGCTGCCAGCCAGACGGTGCCAAACTGTGACTTCCACTCTTAAGGCGTGGAGAAAGCACATTGCTTCCGGCCCAAGGAGCCGCCACTTGGGGCTGGGGGAACGGAGCCGGCTTCTGGGAGAGAACCAGAAAGAAAAGGTTCACTTGCCACCCACAGGAAGCCTGATGGGCAGAGCGCCTGGGGCCGCCGCCCTCCCCAGGGTCCCTCGTAAGAGAGGCTCAGTCCTCCCCTCCACCGCCCCGGGGGTCCCGTGGCACCCACCCCGGCCAGCCATCCAGGGCCCAGCTTCCAGCAAGCCACTCTCCGCTGAGAGTTGCTATAATGGAAGCCTCAAGGAGGGTCTGCAGGAGGCCTGTGTGACCACTAGAGACTAGGAGGCCAGGGCACAGAGCACATGGCATCTGGGGGCCGGGAAGCCCACAGGAAACTGGGCCCTCTGTTGCAAAAACCCCTGAGCGCAGGCAACTCTTTCCTCTCTGAATCATGCACAATTGCCAGACCCGATCCCACTGTCTCTTCTCCCAGGAAGTCCTCCCTGACCCTCCGTCCCCAAGACACAGTCAATGTCGCCATCCTCCGTACACCCCAGTCCTGAAAGTGACCCTCAACCTCAGCCCTTTCCTTGCTCAGAGATGCTTTCTCCCTGGCCTGTGAGCTTTGGGGCTGGGCTCTGTGCCCCAGCAGCCCAGCGTGAGACTCAGCTGGCACCCTGAGCAACGCGGTGGGGTGAGTCATCCCCTCCACCCGGCCCAGCCCCGTGCCTGTACCTGGTCCTTCCCCAGACTCTGAATCTCAAGTCCCTGGAGAAGAGGCAGCTCCGTCAGTCTGCAGATCAGCCACGGAGATCAGGGCGGCAGCTTCCTGTCCTCAGGACCCCGCACCCCGGGAGGGGAGCCTTGGGCTTCCAGCCCCACCCCCCACAGCGTCCAATCCTCGTGGCGGCACCCTCTGCAGCTGGCTCCCTCCAGTAGTCACCTAAATGAACAGGAGGAGAGCTGGAGAGAGGATGTTCTCTTAGCCCAGAAAAGCAATTAGGGCTGTGGGCGTCTCCAGCTGCTGCCCGGGCTACGGAAAGTTCGGGATGTGCACTGGGGATGTCCCGAGGGTATTTGCGGGCTCACGTCTTACCTTCCCTGAATGTTCACGTCCAGCATCCCCGCTCCTGGCCGGGGCACCCAGCACTGCGTGCCAAGCTGCAGGCTCTGTGGGCAGAGTCTCCTGCTGGGCAGCCAGGGGGCCCCTAACCCAGGGCTCACAGAACCCTGGGCATCAACAATGACAGCACCTAGAGCCTGGTCCCTTCTGCGGCATCCCTGATGAGCCCACACTCGGCTTGAGGCCTCTTGGTGTCCTGTGGCTCACTTGGCTAATCCTCCGCCTGTGGCGCCAGCACCCCGGGGTTCTAGTCCCCACTGGGGTGCCGGATTCTGTCCCGGTGGCTCCCCTTCCAGTCCAGCTCTCTGCTGTGGCCCGGGAAGGCAGTGGAGGATGGCCCAAGTGCTTGGGCCCTGCACCCCATGGGAGACCAGGAGAAACACCTGGCTCCTGGCTTCGGATCGGCGCAGTGCGCCGGCTGTAGTGGCCATTTAGGGGGTGAACCAGTGGAAAAGGAAGACCTTTCTCTCTGTCTCTCTGTCTCTCTGTCTCTCTGTCTCTCTCTCTCTCTAACTCTGCCTGTCAAAAAAAAAAAAAAAAAGAATTTAGAACCCCTTCTCACTCGCAGGGTCAAACCCCTGCTGCTGTGGCAAGGCTCTTCCTGGAAATGAGCCCAAATCTGCCTTTGGCCATGTCCCCATGTTGGCCCAGACACCACCTCGGGGACCACACAGGACACGTGGCTCTCTCTGCCCCAGGTGGGCCCCTGTTCTGCAGGAGGAAAACTGCTGTTGAACTGACAGAGTTCCTGTGCCTGACCATGTCTGGGGAAATTCTATGCTCAGCACCGTTCCTCACTGCAGGACTTCTCAGAGCCTTTACTGCGCTCCCACGCACTCGGTGGGACCGTCCAGAACAACCTCAAGAAACTAGCATGCCAAGAAGCATATTTTGAGAAACATGGATTCAGCAGGTTAAAAATGATCACCTGGGGCTGGCGCTCTGGCGTAGTGGGTGAGGCCGCCTCCTGCAGAGCCGGCATCCCATGTGGGTGCTGGTTCGAGTCCTGGCTGCTCCACTTCTGATGCAGCTCTCTGCTAATGTACCTGGGAAAGCAGTAGAAGATGGCCCAAGTGCTTGGGCCGCTGCACCCACGTGGGAGACCTGGAGAAAGCTACTGGTTCCTGGCTTCAGATCAGCTCAGCTCTGGCTGTTGCAGCCATCTGGAGAGTAAACCAGAGGATGGAAGACCTCTCTCTCTCTCTCTCTCTCTCTCTCTCTCTCTGCCTCTCCTTCTCTCTGTGTGTAACTCTGACTTTCTAATAAATAAATACATCTTTTAAAAGAAATGATCCCCTAACTCCTCGGCCTGAGCTCCTTGGAGCACTCCTTCCAGATGGGCGCCCTGCTTGGACTGCTGTGCACCCTGGCCACTTTCTGCAGTGCACTCTGCCCACGAGTCTGCTTTCTCCACTGCTCCACACAAGATGTAGCCACTGAGCGTGCAGAGCCACCTTCCCTCCTCTAGCCTTGCCCCTGCACTGCCACTGATGCAATCAACAGGCCCCTGGAGGTTCAGCTGCTGAATCACACCAGTGTCTTCCTGAAGTCTCCCCAGCAAGCCACAACTCCTTGTTCTGCTTGCAGGTTCTGCCGTCGGAACCTACAGGCAGATGCCACCCCCATGCCAGTGTGCCAAGGTAACAGGAAACCTGCTGTGCCTCCTTGGGACAGCCAGATGGTGGGCCACGGTGAGCACGCCCATGTCTGCGTGGCAGCAGTAGCTGACACCCTCTTGGGCTTTTGCACAGCATGACCTGAAGCAGGGAGGGACCTGCTCTAGCATCGGGTAAGCCCAGACTCACACACAGAGCACTCCGCCCCTCCTAAGGCCATGGCTGCAAGGAGGGGAGGCCCTGGCTCCTCCAGGCCACCTCTCTCTGTGCCTTCACTCGTCCCTTCCCGGGATTCCCTCTCATGGTCCTTCAAGTGTGTGTGCAAGCCCAGGCATGAACAACAGGCTCCTCGCACCAGCCAACTCTCTCTGGGCTGCCCAATGAGAAGACTCAGCAGGGTCAGGCAGGGCGATTAGTGATGTCTGCCAGTGTGGGGAATGGGCAGGGGGTCCACGTGCCAGTTTTGGCTGTCCTGGTCCCTTTCCCTCCTATCTCCCCACCACCCATCAAGCAATAACCCTGCTCTCTCCCACAGCCAACTCCTGGCTCTCGTCAGCACGGCGCTGCTCCGGTTCGCTCTCTGCGCCTCCTGACCTCATGCACAGCTTTGTTCTCGGGGAGCTGCCCACCCCCACCCCAGCCCTATAGGAGGCAGCGCTGCTACCCACCCAGTCCCTCCCACAAACCAAAAACTCTCTGACCAGCCAGCCCTCCTCTTTCCTCCACTGGGGGCTCCTGCTCGAGTTTGCGAGCTGCCGGCTCCTGTGGGCCCTTGCGTCTGGACTCTCTGTCCTTGTCCACTCAATCGCCACGTGCTGATTCTTCCTACCAAATACTTAGCTTATTTCCAAAATGCAAAGAGCTTTATTATTTGTTCTCATTGAAAAACATGACATGTCTCATTATATAAAAAATAAAAGTCAAAGCAACACTCAAAAGTATGAAAAAGAAAGTAAAATTCCTACCACCCAGATATAACTCCTCCTAGCATTTTGGTGAGCAGCCTCCCAGACACAGCCCCATGCATACATACACAGAGATCTATGTATATAATTTTTCAGATGAGGAATTGTATTATACATACTGTTCTCGCTGACACCTGCTTTTCTTGCTTAACAATATGTCATAGACATCTTTCTATGTCAATAAATAGAGCTCTACAAAATTATTTTAATTACTCCATAGTATTCCATTGTATGTATGTATCATATTTTAACTGGATCCCTACTGATGATCATTTAGGATATTGTCGAGATTTTACTCTCACAAACAATGTGGTGATAAATATCGTGCACATTTCTCTTTGCTCACTTTTGCAAGGATCTCCGCAGAATAAAATCCCACCACAGCACGGCAGCAGCAAAGGCTGTACTCTTCCTAATCCTGCCGCTCTGCCCTTCCCAAGGCACACAGAGCACCTTGCACCAGCAGTGGTCAGGCACCTGTCTGCCCACACTCCCATCAGCCCTGGGCTGTGTCGGCCTCCACGTCCGGCCGGCTGCATGACAGGAGGCAGAAGGCACTCGTTACTGGCATTGTGGCATCGCTGGGATTGTCCATGACGAGCAGAGGCTATGGTTTGGATGGGGTTTAAACTTGTCCCTTCAAGGGTTCATGGTCAATAGTTTGGTCCCAGTGTGGAGAGGTTAAGAGGAGTGGGAGTTGGGGGCTAGTGCCATGGCATAGCAGATTAAAGCCCCAGCCTGCAGTGCCAGCATCCCATATGGGTGCTGGTCCGAGTGCGGGCTGCTCCATTTCTGATCCTGCTCTCTGCTATGGCCTGGGAATGCAGTGGAGGATGGCCCAGGTACTTGGGCCCCTGTACCCACATGGGAGACCCAGAGGAAGCTCCTGGTTCCTGGCTTTGGATCAGCCCAGTTCCAGCCATTGCAGCCATCTGGGGAGTGAACCAGCAGATGGAAGACCTCTTTCTCTCTGTCTCTCCCTCTCTCTCTATAACTCTGCCTTTCAAAAAAAAAATAAAGAAATAAATATTTTTTAAAAAGAGAGATAGATAGTGGGACCTTTAAGAGGTGGAGCCTAATGGGAGGTGCTTAGGTCAAGAGGGAGCACTGCCCTAGTAGTCCTGGATGGACTCTGTCAGTCTGGGAGAAGCAGCTGTGGAAAGAGTGAGGCTTGCCCTCCCCTCTCTGGCTCCCTGTCTGGCCTGGTGCCCCCTCCCTCACACCTGTGCTCTCGTCATTCTTACATCATCCACACATCGTCATCAGAGCTGAGCAGAAGCAGCTGCCATGCCCCTGAACCTTCAGAATTATGACCTGAATAAACCTCTTTTCTCTGTAAAGTGCCAGCCTTGGGTGCTTCATTATAGTAAATAAGTATCTTTTTGTTCTTTCATTATTTTTTAAGTAGTTTTTTGTTTTTTGTTTTTTGGGTTTTTTTTTGTTTTGTTTCTTTGTTTTTTTTTTTTTGGTGAATTGTTTGTTCATGTTCTTTGCCCATTTTTCTAGCAAGCTTTTTAATCTTTTTTAAATGATTTGTATGAATTCTTTGTATGTTAGAGAGAAAATTAAATTTTGGTTCATCTTATATATATCCTCCCCTTTCCCTTTCCATTAACTTTTCTTATAATGTTCTTTAAGGTACTGGAGTTTTTAATTTTCATACAGTCAGATTTATCCACTTTTTTCTCTCATGGTTTCTGAGTATTATGGCACGCGTACCTTATGATGATCAAAATATTCACTTGTGTTTCTACCACCAGTCTTCATGTCTTGGTATGGAGTAAGGGAAAAAACCAGCTTGTCCTGTATTGATTTTCTCATAATCCCAACACCACTTAACAAAGTAGCCCATATTTTTCCAACTCAACTGAAATGCCATTTTATAATATTAAAAAAAAAAAACCTCTAAATACTTGGATCCATTTGTCTTCCATTTAATATTTATTTATTTATTTATTTAATTTGAAAGACAGAGACACAGAAAAACCAAGGCACTCCCCCCAAATGCCTGTAACAGCCAGGGGCTGGGCAAGGCCAAAGCCTGAAGCCAGGAACTCCATCTGGAACTCCAACGACTTAGGCTATTACCTCTGACTCCCAGGGTGCACATTAGCCGAGTTGAGATCAGGAGTGGACTGGGAGAGGTGGGTGCTGTGGCGCAGCCGGCTAATCCCCACGTAGGATGCCCACACCCCGGAACAGCGTGCCTAGTTCATGCCCAGGCTGTTCCACTGCCTATCTAGCTTTCGACTTATGCACCTGGGAAGCAGTGAGGATGGCCCCAGTGGCTGGGACCCTCCCACCCATGTGGGAGACTTGGATGGGGTTCCTGGCTCCTGGTTTCAGGTCAGCTCAGTTCTGGCCGCTGTGGCCATTTGGGGAATGAACCAGCGGATGGAAGACCTGTGTGTGTGTGTGTGTGTGTGTGTGTGTGTGTGTGTCTACCTCTCTCTATAACTCCATCAAATAAATAAAGTAAATCTTAAAAGAGGAGGGGGGGTGGGGACTGGGACTCAAACCCAGGCACTACAACATGGAATGTGGGCATCCCAAGCAGCGGCTTAACCACTCTGCCAATGCCCACCTCCCAAGTTTCCTCCCATCCCTTCCTGTGTTTCTACCACTCTTGGGTTGGTCTCCCCAAAACTCTGCTGCATTCACACCCCTCGCCCTCATCCTCCCCTGCTCACAGAGCTTCAGGTACTCCCCACTGCCTGCAGAATCAGGTTCAAATTCTTAAGCTTGCCTCTAAGTTTTTCCATGATTGAACCCCAAACTTCCTTCCGATCCCATTTCCTGGAGTCCCTGGCTACCTGCACCACCAGCACCACCAGCTGCCATCACACAGCCCACCAACCTTCGCCCTGCCTAGCTCTTCTCAGTTCCGCTTGCCTAGCCCTGCACAGGCTCTCACTTGCCTGCTCAAATTCCACCATCAGCCCCCGGACCAGCTTTTATGTTGAAGTAATACTAAATAAATAAATTCCAACTGTTTTAATAAAGTTTAATAAATAAACTGGTTTAATAAAGCAGGTTTGTTGGGACAATGTGTTAGCCACAATTTGGGACTCCCACATCCCATCCTGGAGAGCATAGCTTTGAGCCATGGCTCCAGTCTCCATTCCAACGCCCAGCTAATGTACACCCTGGGAGGCAGAAGGTGACAGCTCAAGTACCTGGGCCTCTGCCACCCACGGGAGACCTGAGTGGAGCCCCTGGCTCCTGGCTTCAGCCTGGCCTTGTTGCAAGCATTTGGGGAGTGAACCAGCAGGTGGAAGTCTTCTCTCTCTCTCTCTCTCTCTCCCTCTCTCTCTCTCTCTCCCTTTCAAACTTTAAAGCACTTTTATTATTAGTTCCCTTAGGGAGTACCCCAGATACAACAAGCATCAGGCACGGTTTGATCACAGCTCTTCCTCCTCCTCCCTGTGTTGGCCACATCCTCAGCTCAGTGTTTCCCAGGGGCCAGACATCTTCCAGAAATCAGAGCCACATGTCTCCTCTTTCAAGTCCAGCGAAGGAGAGACTGGATGTGTTTCCCCAGCCATCTGATTAAAATCCTGAGCTCCTGTCTGAAGGGCCAACCAGAAGCAAGCCCTGTGACCAGAAGGAGGCAGATGATTGGTTTAGGCTAGAAGAGGGAGGACTCTCTTGGTCAGCTAAGCCAATCAGGACCCATCCCAGCATGTCACACACGGTAGGAAATGATAGCCGCATTGGCACTGCACCCTCCCCCACAGCCCTGCATAGTTTATCCATATAATCACCTGCACATCTCCCAAATAACCACTGCAGAACTAATGAAGTCCACGCAGCACTACACAGGCCAGTCCAAAAGGTCAAAAGACCTTCAGCACAGTCCTGTGGCCCCCAGAGAGGTTAGCTGACTTGCCCTATGTCACGCAGCCAGAGACAACACCGCCCCAGAGGCCTCTATAGCAATGTCTCTCTCTGCATCTATCTCTTATTCTCCCTCTCTCTCTCTCTCTCTCTCTCTCTCTCTCTCTCTCTCTCCCTCTCCCCGTTTGTGTCCATCTCCCTTTCTCTGTCTCTGTATTAATCTCCCTGTCTGTCTCGGTCTCTATTTCCGCATCTCTCTCCCTTTCTGTCTCTCTCTGTGTCTGTGTCTCCGTCTCTCTCTCACCAGCACCTCCCCCCAGCTTCCAACTCCAGCCTGACCTGCAGGTGCAGAAACCCCCTTCAAACCACCTCCTGTTCCCCCACTTCACCCCACTTTCTGCAGCTCTTCGTTTTCCTCCCAAAAGTACAGAGAAAGTTTTCTGGCTAGACAGCAGTTTCTAAGATTTGTGTGACAAGGCCGGGTAAAATTCAAATGACTCTGGGTGATTTAATCTGCTCGGGGCTGGGGTGGTAAATCAGGGCAGCCCAGGCTGCCACAGCTGCCCCAGAAACCCACGAGCCGCTGATGCTAGGAGTTTATCTGCAGATCTGCAGGTGAGGGCCCGGCAAGCGTGAACCGCGGCCAAGGGAGTTCCCCTCCACCGCACTCGGAATACATTTGCAGGGTCCCGCAGCCTCTCCCGACCTACATGTTCCACCAGGAGCCCCATCCCCCACCGGGCTCTCCCGGGGAGAGCTCTGGCGGTCAAGGCCAGGCCCCGCACGCCCATTACCTCAGCTCATCTTCACAACAACTTAAT